CCGTGCCTTTCCAAAACCGAAGGTCCCTAACCAAGGAGATCTCTTTAAGGTCTCGAAAAAAGGAGGATGGAATGAAAAGGATGTGTAAGTAGTGTCATTTTTTTACTTGTAGAGTTCATCCTAGTCTTCCAGCTATCGTTTCCTAGCACTCAATGTTCCCAAGACAGTGTCACCACCCCGACTCTCTCTCATTTTCTTTGCCCAGGCCCTCATTCCACTGGGGAGTCGCGGCCTTCCATCGGTAGAAGCCGATGTTCTGAACCACGGACTCTCCAACTCTCCGGCGCTTTTCGCCCACTCGGTCCCTCTGAACACGAAGGGCTCTCTCATCCTGTCACTAAAAACATTACTGTCCCGAGACACGGAAAAAGTCGCCCCTCTTCTTTGCAGGATTCCTCCCTTGAACTTCCCCAAACCCTCTCAGTGTGACGTGACCCCACCCCTAAGTAACCTCAGTCGCTTCCTTACCAGCTTCCCGCCCCCGGGGGGCGCCTGCCGTAGGCCAACGCAAGGACCGTCCGCTGCCAGCTCTGCCGCTATCCCTGTGGGGTGAATCTAACATGGCGGATAAAGACAGTAACTAGTCCCCTGTTTCGCCGAGTTTTCGCCAAGATGATTGGCTCCTACCACTTGTCCCTCAAAACGACCACCCCATTGATTGGTGGAGATTCTGTCGACGGGGCGGGGCAGAAGAAACCTGAAGCCGAACAACAATAACAAACATTGGGGCCGAGGGGCGGAACTACGAGTGCGCAGACGTGAGCCAGAGCGGATTTCCCCTTCCCTAGGCAAATTCGGCGCCTACTGCGTCCCCCGCAGGTCACTGACCTTACAGGACGACTTGCCCAAGACTCGTGGGGCTGGATGGGAATTGTAGTCTTCCTAGGAGTTGTCGGTATCTTTTTGACCTAGTCTCTGCTCTCAAGATACGAAAACATAACAACACTCCAATCCAAAACTGTTGACATGTATAAGCGCGCGGAGGTCTCCAATCTATCCACTGGATTTCCGTGAGAATTGTGCCCGCTTCGGTATTGGATGTTCCTTTCCATAAGACTACAGTTTCCAAGGAACAGCGTGGCGAAGGCCTTTCATTCCGCAACGCATGCTGGAAGTAGTAGTTCTTTCCCTCCACCCCCCAACAATCCTTTTATTTACCTAAACTGGAGACCTCCATTAGGACGGAAAGAGTAGGGGAATGGGACCTCTTCCTACGACTGCTTTGGACACTATCTTACACTCATATTCAGGCCTCGGGTAGCGATTCTGATCTTTGTACAGCGATTACTGTGACGTAATAAGTCGCAACTGGAAGCGTAAAGGCGAGAGGGCGGGCGCTTTATGGCAAACTCAGGTAGAATTCTTCCTCTTCCGTCTCTTTCTTTTTACGTCACCCGGGGCAGACTGGGTGGCCAATCCAGAGCCCCGAGAGACGATAGGCTCTTTCTGTCCCGCCCTTCCTCTGTGTCTTGATTTCCTCTTCTGAGAGGCTGTTGCTCAGCGGTTTCCGTGGCAACGGTAAAGCGTGGGAATTACAGGTAAATTAAAACTGTGGAACCCCTTTCCTCGCTGCCGCCAAGGTGCTCGGTCCTTCCGAGGAAGTTAAGGCCGCGTTGGGGTGAGGCCCTAACCTCTTCCGGCAACTAGCACCCCGTCTGGCGGCCCCAGCCCCACACTCGCCCGCGCCATGGCCTACGTCTCCGAGCTCGCCTGCATCTACTCTGCCTTCATTCTGCCCGACGATGAGGTGACCGTCACGGAGAGTAAGATCAATGCCCTCATTTAAGCAGCCGGTGTAAATGTTGAACATTTTTGGCCTGGCTTGTTTGCAAAGCCCCTGGCCAACGTCAACACTGGGAGCCTCATCTGCAATGTAGGAAAAACAAAAACGTGACTGAGCGGCGTGAGCTCGCTGAGACTTTCTGGACGGGGGACAGGCCGTGGGGTTTCTCAGATAACTGGGCCCCTGGGCTCAGGAGGCCTGCACCCTCTGCTCTGGGTAAAGGTAGAAGAGCCCCGGAAAAGGGACAGGGGCCCAAGGGATGCTCCGGGGGACAGGCAGGGGAGAGTGAACTTCCGAAGCAGGCAGATGGGTATTCTTTAGGCGGGGTGGGGGGCGCGGAACCTGAGAAGCGTAAGGAGTTGTGAACTCCCTGGGGAAGGGGGCAATTTGTAGGTCGCGAGGGAAGCACTAAGGATCAGGTAGGGGGCACCGTGTGTCCGAGGGGGAATCCTCGTGATAGGAACTGAAATGTGCCTTGAGGGGGACACCATGTGTATAAGAACATCAGCTGGTTGCCGGGGACGGTGGCTCATGCCTGTAATCCCAGCACTTTGAGAGGCCAAGGCGGACGGATCACGAGGTCAGGAGTTCGAGACCAGCCTGACCAACATGGTGAAACCCCGTCTCTACTAAAAATACAAAAATTACCCGGGCGTGGTGGTGCGCGCCAGCTACTCAGGAGGCTGAGGCAGGAGAATCGCTTGAACCCGGGAAGCGGAGGTTGCGGTGAGCCGAGATCGCGCCATTGCACTCCAGCCTCGGCGACAGAACGACACTCTGTCTCAAAAACAAACAAACAAACAAACACCGGCTAGTATTTATGAGAGGATGGGCCCTTGCGGAAGAAGAGGTGCCAGGAATATGTGTGGGAAGGGGAGGAGACAGGATTTTGTGGGAGGGAGAACTTAAGAACTGGATCCATTTGCACTATTGAGGGAATAGCAAGAGGGAAGTAGAGGAGCGTCAGTAGTAACAGATGCTGCCGGCAGGGATGTGCTTGAGGAGGATCCTGAGATGAGAGCAGGTCACTGGGAAGGGTTAGGGGTGGGGAGGTGTTGATTGGTGTTGGTTTCAGTTTTATGCATGAGAAAGAAAACAGCCAGAAGCATTGGAGAAAGCTAAGGCAAACCACCACTTACCCGGTCAGTCACTCCCCTGTAGCTTTCTCTTTCTTGGAGAAAGGAAAAGACCCAAAGAGTTGGAAGCGATATGTGAAAAAATACAGAGTTTATGTTGTCTGATTACAAAAAGCAACTTCTAGAACCTTTAAAAATAAAGGATCTTGTATTCTGAAACCTTCCAAATCTTAAATTTATTTTACTTTATTTATTTTTTAGACGGAGTTTCTCACTTGTTGCCCAGGCTGGAGTGTAACGGCGTGATTTGGGCTCGCCGCAACCTCTGACTCGTGGGTTCAAGCGATTCTCCTGCCTTAGCCTCCCAAGTAGCTGGGATTGCAGGCATGCACCACCATGCCTGGCTCGTGTTTTTGTATTTTTAGTAGAAACAAGGGTTCTCCATGTTGGTCAGGCTGGTCTTGAACTCCCGACCTCAGGTCATCCGCCCATCTCGGCCTCCCAAAGTGCTGTGATTACAGGCGTGAGCCACCACGCCCAGCCCTATTTACCTTATTTTAAAATGATAAAATGAAGTTGTCATTTTATAAACCTTTTAAAAAGATACATGTTTTTTCTAATGTGTTAAAGTTCATTGGAACAGAAAGAAATAGATTTACCTGCTGTTCGCGTTGAAGAAGTACAAAATGTCCTTAATGCAGAAAATCTTAGAGTGTCCAATCTGGTAAGTCACCACAAGAGGGTATTAATTTGAGATTCCTATAGATTATCTCCTATGCAAATGAACAGAATTGACCTTACATAGTAGGGAGGAAAAGTCATGTCTAGTAAGATTAGGCTATTGTAATTGCTGATTTTCTTAACTGAAGAACTTTAAAAATGTAGAAAATGGCTCCTTGTTCTCCATCCACTCTTCCTCTCCCACTCCTCTCCTCTTCAAAACAAATCCTGTGGTCCGGGAAAGACAGGGACTCTATCTTGATTGGTTCTGCACTGGGGCAGAAATCTAGTTTAGATTAACTGGCATTTTGGTTTTCTTCTAGCTCTAAAACCAGCTTCATCACTTGAAGTGGCAAAATAAATCATGAATGAGGCCGTGGGCAGTGGCTCATGCCTGTAATCCCAGCACTTTGGGAGGCCGAGGTGGGAGAATCATGAAGTCGGGTGATCGAGACCATCCTAGCCAACATGGTGAAACCCCTTCTCTGCTAAAAATAGAAAAATCAGCTGGGTGTAGCCCGCGCATGCCTGTAATCCCAGCTACTCATGAGGCTGAGGCAGGAGAATCACTTGAACCGGGAGGCAGATGTTGCAGTGAGCCAATATCGTACCACTGAACTCTAGCCTGGCGACAGAGCCAAACTCCATCTCAAAAATAAAAATAAATAATAAATAATCGGCCAGGTGCGGTGACCCATGCCTGTAATCCCAGCACTTTGGGAGGCCAAGGTGGGCAGATCACAAGGTCAGGAGATCGAGACCATCCTGGCTAACGTGGTGAAACCCCGTCTCTACTAAAAATACAAAAAATTAGCCAGGCATCGTGGTGGGCGCCTGTAGTCCCAGCTACTCGGGAGGCTGAGGCAGGAGAATGGCATAAACCTGGAGGTGGAGCTTGCAGTGAGCCAAGATCTCAGAACTGCACTCCAGCCTGCCACTCCAGCCTGAGTGACAGAGTGAGACTCTGTCTCAAAAAACAAACAAACAAACAAACAAAAAACCATGGATGATTGGTGTCCTTTAGGGGGTAAGTCTTTGAAAGACCCTTCCTCTGAAACTGGCTCTGTACATTTAAATAAGAATACTGCAAGTCATCAAAGCCTTTAGCAAGTCTGACTCTTGGAGTGAGCTTTTGTTTTTCTTGGTCTATAAAAGGAAAAGGGGACTATACTATTCACATTTTGCTTTTGAATTGAGGTATAATTTACATACAGTGGAATGCAGAGGTTTTTTTATACAGGATCTCTGGTGCTATCACAGCTTACTGCAGCCTCAACCTCGCCAGGCTCAAGCGATTCTCCCACCCTAGCCCTCCAGAGTAGCAGGGACTACAGGTGTGCACCACCATGCCCAACTAATTTTTGTATTTTTTTTTTGGTAGAGATAGGGTTTTGCCATGTTGGTCACGCTGGTCTCAAACTCCTGACCTCAAGTGATCTACCCACCTTGGCCTCTCAAAGTGCTGGGATTACAGGTGTGAGCCTCTGCACCCAGCCATGGTCTGAAAATCTTGATTGAAATACCACCTTTTCATTTCCAGACACCGCTATTTAAAATTACAACACCCTCAAGACACACTTTATCCTCCATTCCTGCTGTTTCTCCATAACATTTATGACTAGCTGACATTCTATGTAATGTATCCATCCTTTATTTCGAGTACCACAGAACGTAAACTCCAGGATGGCAGCAGAGATTTTTGTTTTGTTTATGTACATCTGTATCTTCAGTAGTTAGAACAGTACTTGGGACCTAGCTGCCACTCAATAAACATTTGTTGAATAAATTAAATAATAAACTAAACTACATTAGTTCTTCGATTAACTTTTTAAAATACGGTCATTAGTAGTGAGTAACATTTAAAAAATAAGTTGAAAACTTGTACTTATTGCCTCTTACCCACAATAAAAAAGGGTAAATTCAAGGAAATTTTCTTTTGTGCTTTATGAAAGTTGTTTTTCATATTTGAAGTCAAGTTAATCAGATTAAGGAAAATGCAAGTTGTGTTTTCAGAGAGAGAACAAGATTTATAAATAACCATCCTCTCCCTTGCCCTTCAACATTTTAGCTAAACAAAAATAAGAGGAAAACAAGATTTACAATTTATCAATTTATTGAAAATCAGAGCCAGAGAAGCAGGAAATGACATTGCAGGAAAAAACTGCTTTTGAAAAAGCACAAAACTTACTCATGACAATCAGAGTGATCAAAAAAATCCTCAATAGTGTGGCATTTGGATCCCTTTCTCTTTACATTTCTATGGAACAGAGTCATAAAAATAGGATGTTCTTTCTCATTCTGGCAAATTAAACCATCAATTAAAAACTCAGATACATAAAAATTAAAGATGTAAGAATGAAAGTTAATGCTAAATTTTTATTTTCAGTCAGCTATTGTATGTTTTCTAGTTTTTCATTGCTTTTTTCCTGTTTTCTGTTAGATGACTTTTTTTTTTTTTTTAGACGGAGTTTAGCTCTTGTTGCCCAGTCTGGAGTACAGTGGCACCGTCTTGGTTCACTGCAACCTCTGCTTCCCAGATTCTAGTGCTTCTCCTACCTCAGCCTCCTGAGTAGCTGGGATTACAGGCGCATGCCACCATGCCTGGCTAATTTTGTATTCTTAGTAGAGATATGGTTTCACCATGTTGGTCAGGCTGGTCTCAAACTCCTGACCTCATGATTCGCCCGCCTCGGCCTCCCAAAGTGCTGGGATTACAGATGTGAGCCACCACACCTGGCCTAGATTAATTTTTAATGGTTTTTTAGACTCATATGTATGGAAAGCTCTAGGATGGGGATCATATTTCACTTCCTTTTAATACAGTACCCAGTATAGCACAATTTGCAGTTATGTCTTAATATGTGATTCCTGATCATGACTGGAAACTGTTATTTGTGGTAGCTATAGGGTAAGTAAGGATTTCATCCTCCTTTAGGTTTCTTGAACTAAAATTCCTTCTGCTGGCCTCTAAGTCAGTATTGGCAGCTGTTTCCGATAATTGGTAGTTCTCTGTAACTTTTTACCTATGACTATGACATTTTTGACTTTCAGAAGAATTTGCTAAAATGTGTACACCAGTGGGTTGTTGTTTTTCAACCTAAACCTAGCTGCTTTTTCCAGTCACTTATCCGTATTGGAACTCAAATGCAAATGTACAGTACGCCTAAAATATTGCCTGGTTTGAAAAAGTGCTTAAAATATTTGATCTTTTTATAGTAAACATTTACTCTCATCAGACCTAGAAGAGGAACATTTAATTTTTTTCGTATTCCCTTTTCACAGTCTTCCTTGAGCATTCATTACCTTTTTACTATTTGGAGTTTTCATCTGTATCAAGTTTGTTTTACAGTGTGTTTATATAGTTTAGATATAATTACCATACTGAAATATAATTATTTCAGAATTGAGTCAGTGGTGAGAAATGAAAGCCATCTGGTATGAATAACTGAATCCAATTTCTTCTTTTAGGGAGAACTCTTTTGAAATGTAGCTTATCTCAGAAATAGGGATTAGTAAACAATCAGTTTTCTTTGTCAAGGTTGTTTCTCTTATTTTTTTTTTTGAGACGGAGTCTTGCTCTGTCACCCAGGCTAGAGTGCAGTGGCGCGATCCTCGGCTCACTGCAAGCTCCGCCTCCCGGGTTCACACCATTCTCCTGCCTCAGCTTCCGGGTAGCTGGGACTACAGGTCGCCGCCACCGCCCGGCTAATTTTTTGTATTTTTTTTTTGAGACGGAGTCTCGCCTCTGTCGCCCCGGGCTGGAGTCGCAGGTCCGATCTGGCGCTCTGCGGTTCTTCGCGTCGCACCTTCTCTGCTCCAGCCTCCCGAGCTACCTGACCGGTTCCCGCACCACCACGCCCAGCTAATTTTTGTAATCTTTTTTCTTTCTTAGGTAGAGACAGGGTTTCAACGTGTTAGACAAGGATGGTTCAATCTCCTGACCTCGTGATCCGCCCGCCTCGGCCTCCCAAAGTGCTGGGATTACAGGCGTGAGCCACCGCGCCCGGCCATTTTTTGTATTTTTAATATAGACGGGGTTTCACTGTGTTTGCCAGGATGGTCTCGATCACTTAAGCCTGGGAGGTGGAGGTTGCAGCAACCCCAGATTGTGCCACTGCACGCCAGCCTGGATGACAGAGCACAACCCTGTTTAAAAAAAAAAAAACCCATAATATTAAATTATTTGAAAATGAGATTAAATAATCATTACCTTAAGTGCTTCTTCATATTCTCCTAAAAGGACAAAAAATATACACTATGATAGTTATTCACATACCCCAAAAGATTCTATTATTTTAAAATTATTTTTATTTTGTACACACCCATTCACTCCTTCAAGAACCAAAGATTCTGTAAGATTAAGTATAGCCAATTATTTTTATTTTGTACATATCCATTCATTCATTCAAGAATCTATAAGATTAAGTGTAGCCAATTCTAAAGATGGACTGTATAACATGAGGAATGTATTATAGTTAAATAATCATATATTTATGATTTTTGCTAAATGAGTAGATTATGGCTGGTTTCTGGGGAGGGCTCAGGGCACCACAGGGCCACTATAAGGAGATGATGGATATGTTAATTTGCTTCACTATAGTAACCACTGCCACGTAACATTTTGGTCAACCACGTGTATGATGGTGATCCCATAAGATTATAATGTCCATTTTTACTGTACCTACTGTACAAATGCAACACCGTGGGAATACTTTTATGTCTTGAACTGGGAGGCATATTAATCTCAGAGGACTGGCATGTTAAATATGAAAACCTCCCAATAAAGCTGTCCTTAGGGTCCATTCAAAGGCATCATCCTATATACAAAAAACTGCTATACAATAAAATCTCCTATGTAACTAATGTCCATCATTGCAATGTTAATTTGTAGTATACCAAATTCCAAACTCTAAAATTAATACTGCAATAAGGTTTGAGTACAAATAGAAATGCCTCAATGAGCAGATTAAGGCTTTTAAATAAGGCTGAACAGACTCTCTCAGGGACTCACCTTGACTGTTGATGGATACCTATAAAAGGAAAAAAAACAACAGTGAATTATAAGTGTCTCATCAATCGAGCATTTCTGTTACTAGGACCAGCCCCATAGGACAGAAAAAAACTCAGGCCAAGCCTTCAGCTTTTCTGTATCACTTGCTAGTCATGAATAATACTTAAAAAATGTTGTTGCTTATCTACTGTGCCCTCCTTTATTTCAGATACATTAAGAGGCAGTGCAATATAACGGTTAGGAGCTTGAGTTCTATAGCTAGAGGGTATGGATTGAACCCTGACTTGACTACTTCCAAGTTTTTGTGCGTTTAGGCAAGTTATTTCACCTCTCTGTGCCTCAGTTTCCTCATGGGTAAAATAGTGATGATAATAATGTACTCAATAGATGGCATTGTTGCTAGTCTGCCACACTGTAAGCACTCAATAAAGCTTAGTCATTAACCTGGGCAACAAAGTGAGACCCCATCCCTCCAAAGAATAAAAAAATTTTGCTGGATGCAGAGGCATGTCCTAGCTACCCAGAAGGCTGAGATGGGAGGATTCCTTGAACCCAGGAGCTCTAGGTTGCAGTGAGCTATGATCATGCCAATGCACTCCAGCCTGGGCGACAGAGTAAGACCGTGTCTCTTAAAAAAAAAAAAAAAAAAAAAAAAAAAAAAAAGCCTTAGCTATTATATTTGTATTATTATAAACTGAATGGCTTGCACTATATGTGAACTTAAGGTCACTACATAATTTTTTTTTTTTTTTTTTTCTGAGACGGAGTCTCCAGGCTGGAGTGCAGTGGCGCAATCTCGGCTCACTGCAAGCTCCGCCTCCCGAGTTCATGCCATTCTCCTGCCTCAGCCTCCCCAGTAGCTGGGACTACAGGCGCTCACCACCACACCCGGCTAATATTTTGTATTTTTAGTAGAGACGGGGTTTCACCGTGTTAGCCAGGATGGTCTCGATCTCCTGACCTCATGCTCCGCCCGCCTCGGCCTCCCAAAGTGCTGGGATTACAGGCATGAGCCACCACGCCTGGCCACTACATAGTTTTAAAAGTTATCTTGGCCAGGTGTGGTAGCTCAGGCCTGTAATCCCAGCACTTTGGGAGGTCGAGGCGGGCCGACTGCTTGGGCCCAGGAGTTCAAGACCAGCTTGGCCAACATAGTGAAATCCCATCTCTACTAAAAATACAAAAATTAGCCAGGCGTGGTGGTATAAACCTGTAATCCCAGCTACTCGGGAGGCTGAGACAGAAGAATCACTTGAACCCAGGAACTGGAGGTTGTAGTGAGCAGAGATTGCACCACTGCACTCCAGCCTAGGCGACGGAGTGAGGCTCCGTCTCAAAAAAAAAAAAGTTATCTCAGGCCAGGCATGGTGTCTCACACCTGTAATATTACCCAGCACCTTGGGAGGCTGAGGTGGGAGGACTGCTTAGGCCCAGGAGTTCTAGACTGGCCTGAGCAACATAGTGAGACCCCATTTCCTTTTTTTTTTTTTTTTAAAGTGAAAGTTATCTCTGAGCTATTCTTCAATGTTGCTTCTCCGTTTCTCAACTCTATCTCAGATGCTGCAAGTCTTCTTAGAATATTCAATTATCAAATATATTTAAACCACCACACAAATGAGCTAAACACTATTTTGAATTATTAAAGCCCATATCACTGGAGAAATAAGATTGCTATTCTGAACACCTAGCAATAAGTACCATAATATACTTTACCTCTTCATTTTCCTCATCCAGGTATTTTATTTGAATAGTATTCAGATCAAATGAAACTGTTACCTAGAAAAGAAATACACGTTTAAAGGCAGGTTATAATGTACGCAGAAGTCAAAGGATGAGCTGTGCACATTTCATTACATATTAAATATTTTATACAGTTAAAAAAATCCACAAAATCAAAAGACAAACAACAAACAACCGTAACAACCCATAACAAAGGGTTAGTATCTGCGACACACCCAGAGCATCAGCAAACTGCTAATGATACAATTAACAACCCAGGTAAAAATATACATAAAATTCAGAGAAGAGGAAATCAAAACACCTAACAAGCACATCAGAAGATTTTCAAACTTTCCGGTGGTCAGAACAATGCAAACTGAAGCAATGAGATGCCATCTCATCTGAACAGCAAATTTTGTGTGTGTGTGCGCGTGTGGGAGCACAAAAAATGGGAAGACTTGGGTTCCAGACACAGCTCTGGCCCATTACTAGACATAAAACTGTGAGCAGGTCAGCTCACCTTTAAGATTCAGTTTTTAATCTTTAATCTATAAAAGAGGTCTAATATGTCTGCTCTGCCTGTCTCACAGTGTTACCATAAGGATGAAATTAAAAATGTATATGCAAGTTCTTTCAAAATGTCACTCAAATATAAAAAATATAATAAAGGCCAGGCACAGTGGCTCATGTCTGTAATCCCAGCACTTTGGGAAGCAGAGGCTGGCAGATAGCTTGAGTCCAGGAGTTCCATACCAGCCGAACCAACATGGTGAAACTTCATCTGTACCAAAAATACAAAAATTAGCTGCATGTAGTGGTACAGGCCTGTAATCTCAGCTACTCAGGAGGCTGAGGCAGGAGAATTGCTTGAACCTCGGAGGCAAGGTTGCAGTGAGCCAAGATCATGCCTGTGCACTCCCGCCTGGGTGATATAGCGAGACTCTGTCTCAAAAATAAAATAAAAAATTGGCCCGGTATGGTGGCTCATGACTGTAATCCTAGCACTTTGGGAGGCTGAGGCGGAAGGATCATGAGCCTAGGAGTTCAAGACCAGCAACCCCATCTCCTTAAAAAAATTAAGTTAAATTAAACATTTTTTAAAATAATAAACCAGTCTTTAGAACCATAAACCTGTAGTGTTTTCGACAATATAATGCACTGCCCTGTCAAACACTCCAATTAAGACTGTTATTTTAAGGACCCTGAACTCTGTGAAGATCACGCACTTTTTTGAAACCCTAAGACAATTATCCTCCAATTTTCTCCATTCTTTGTTTCTACCTAGAACCAAATGCACCACAAAAATAATACTACTCTCTTAATAACAATCCTGCTGACATCTACTATTCATTCATATGAAATGTAATTATTGGGGTCCTTAAAATTTGGGCAGAATCTTTGTCAATTCCCCAGGACCTTAGGCAAAAAATCAGGGAAATGAAGTGACTGACTTAGTCTGCCAAAAGCAGATGTTCAGAAATACCACTTTCCAACTTCAAGAAACACACTTCGTGCCAGGCGCGGTGGCTCACGCCTATAATGCCAGAATTTTGGGAGGCCGAGGCGGGTAGATCATGAGGTCAGAAGATAGAGGCCATCCTGGCTAACACGGTGAAATCCCCGTCTCTACTAAAACCACAAAAAAATTAGCTGGGCAGGGTGGCGGGCGCCTGTAGTCCCAGCTACTCAGGAGGCTGAGGAGGCAGGAGAACGGCGTGAACCCGGGAGGCGGATCTTGCAGTGAGCCGATATCGTGTCACTGCACTCCAGCCTGGGGGACAGAGGGAGACTCCGTCTCAAAAAAAAAAAGAAAAGAAAAAGAAAAAAACACACTTCCCTACTTGTGAAGGAAATTAATCTTCGCATCTTTTTCTCAAATTACACAACTGGAAATTAATTTAAATACTCTGGAGCTCCTCCAGCTGGTGGGCCAACTAAGAGAAAACAGGAAGTGGGAGATTATAGCTTTGGCTGACAAGTAAAAAAAATTCTTTCAGCAAAAGCATTAATCTTGAACGTGTGTAAACACCAAAGTTATGGTTAATCCTATCTGCCCCTTAGGTCTACGGCCAGTATAGTCAGATAGCTGGGACCTAGGCCTTCAGCTTGCTTGCTTTTTTTTTTTTTTTTTTTTTTGAGACGTTGTCTCGCTCTGTCGCCCAAGCTGGAGTGCAGTGGCGCGCTCCGCCTCCTGGGTTCACGCCATTCTCCTGCCTCAGCCTCCCGAGTAGCTGGAACTACAGGCGCCCGCCACCGCGCCCGGCTCATTTTTTGTATTTTTAGTAGAGACGGGGTTTCACCATGGTCTCGATCTCCTGACGTTGTGATCCGCCTGCCTCGGCCTCCCAAAGTGCTGGGATTACAGGCGTGAGCCACTGCGCCCGGCCTGCTTTTTTGTTTTGAGACGGAGGTGTGTTTTTTTCTTTTTCTTTTCTTTTCTTTTTTTTTTTTTTTTTTTTTTTTGAGACGGAGTTTTGCTCTTGTTGCCCAGGCTGGAGTGCAATGGCGCGATCTCGGCTCACCGCAACCTCTGCCTCCCAGGTTCAAGCGATTCTCCTGCCTCAGCCTCCCTAGTAGCTGGGATTACAGGCGTGTGCCACCACGCCCGGCTAATTTTGTATTTTCAGTAGAGACGGAGTTTCTCCATGTTGGTCAGGCTGCTCTGGAACTCCCGACCTCAGGTGATCCGCCCGCCTCAGCCTCCCAAAGTGCTGGGATTACTGGCATGAGCCACCGCGCCCGGCCTGGCCTTCAGCTTTCATAACTGGCATGACTTTAAGTCCATGCCACTGACGCACCTTGGCTTGGCACAAGGTAACTTTTCCTCTACGTCTTTTTTTTTTTTTTTTTTTCAGCCTTAACAAAATCCCTTTAATGAAACAGACCTGGCAACCTGAGCTTTGATTACTGTCTCCACCAGAGGCCTGTACAAGACAAGTTATTCAAACTTTAAAATGTGCGACCCGAGGCCGGGAGCAGTGGCTCATGCCTGTAATCCCAGCACTTTAGGAGGCCGAGGCAGGAAGATCGCTTGAGCTCAGGAGTTCAAGACCAGCCTGGGCTGGTCTTTGAGACAGTAAGACTCTGTCTCAAAAAAAAAAAAAAGTGTGGCCTGAAAGCTGGACGTTTGACAAAAAGGAAAAACAGTGCCTTTCCAACACCGAAGGTCCCTAACCAAGGAGATCTCTTTAACAGGGTCTCGAAAAAAGGAGGATGGGATGAGAAAGATGTGTAAGTAGTGTCATTTTTTTTACTTGTAGAGTTCATCCTAGTCTTCCAGTTATCGTTTCCTAGCACTTAATGTTCCCAAGACAGTGTCACCACCCCGAGGACTCTCTCTCATTTTCTTTGCCTGGGCCCTCTTTCCACTGGGGAGTCGTGGCCTTCCATCAGCAGAAGCCGATGTTCTCAACCACATACTCTACAACTCTCCGGCGCTTTTCGCCCACTCGGTCCCTCTGAACACGAAGGGCGCTCTCATCCTGTCACTAAAAAGATTAGCTGTCCCGAGACACGGGAAAAGTCGCCCCTCTTCTTTGCAGGATTCCTCCCTTGAACTTCTCCAAACCCTCTTACGGTGACGTGACCCCACCCCTAGGTAACCGAGGCTGCTTCCTTACCAGCTTCCCGCTCCAGTGAGGCGCCTGCCGGAGGCCAAAGCCAGAACCGTCCGCTGCCAGCTCTGCCGCTATCCCTGTGGGGTGAATCTAACAAGGCGCATAAAGACTAACTAGTCCCGTTACTCCCAGTTTTCGCCAAGATGATTGGCTCTTACCACTTGTCCCTCAAAACGACCACCCCATTGATTGGTGGAGATTGCGTCGACGGGGCGGGGCAGAAGAAACCGGAGCCGAACAACAATAACAAACATTGGGGCCGAGGGGCGGAACTACGAGTGCGCAGACGTGAGCCAGAGCGGATTTCCCCTTCCCCAGACAAATTCGGCGCCCACTGGGTCGCCACAGGTCACTGACCTTAGAGGACTGTTGCCGGAGACTCGTGGGGCTGGATGGGAATTGTAGTCTTCCTAAGAGTTGTAGGTATTTTTTTTAGGCCTAGTTTTTCCTTTCAAAATACGAAAACATAACAACACTCCAATCCGTAACTGTTGACGTGTATAAGCGCGTGGAGGTCTCCAATCTATCCGCTGGATTTCCGTGAGAATTGTGCCCGCTTCGCTATTGGATGTTTCTCTCCATAAGACTACACTTTCCACAAGGAACACTGTGGCAACGACCTTTCATTCCGCAGCGAATGCTGGAAATAGTTCTTTCCGTCCACCCCTATAATATAATATAATATAATCCTTATTCCTTATATTTACCTAAACTGGAGACCTCCATTAGGGCGGAAAGAGTGGGGGAATGGGACCTCTTTTTACGACTGCTTTGGACACTAGGTAGCGATTCTGACTCTCGTACAGCAATTACTGTGACGTAATAAGCCTCAACTGGACGCGTAGAGGCCAGAGGGTCGGCACTTTAGGGCAAACTAGGGTAGAATTCTTCCTCTCCTGTCTCTTTCGTTTTACGTTATCTGGGGGCAGACTGGGTGGCCAATCCAGAGCCCCGAGAGAGACTTGGCTCCTTCTGTCCCGCCCTTCCTCTGACTGTGCCTTGATTTCGTATTCTGAGCAGCTGTTGCTTAGCGGTAGCCAGCTGGTTTCCGTGGCAACGGAAAAGCGCGGGAATTACAGATAAATTAAAACTGCGGCTGCGCGGCGTGGGCTCGCTGAGACCTTCTGGACGGGGAACAGGCCGTGGGGTTTCTCAGATAACTGGGCCCCTGGGCCCCAGAGGCCTACACCCTCTGCTCTGGGTAAAGGTAGTAGAGTCCCGGGTCCAAGTGATGCTTTGGGGGACTGGCGTGGGAGAGAGAGTGGGTATTCTTTTGGGGGGGGGCGGTGGCGGAAGCTGAGAGGCGTAAGGAGTTGTGAACCCTGGGGAAGGGGCAGTTTGTAGGTCGCGAGGGAAGCTCTGAGGATCAGGAAGGGGGCACGGTGTGTCCGAGGGGGAATCATCGTGATAGGAACTGAAATATGCCTT